CGCCTCCCCCCCGCCCCCCGGCTACGATTGGTCGAGCTTCGGGAGGGGCGGGCCGCGACGTTGACTGACAGCCGTACGCGCCCCAAGCGGAGCCCAGAGGCGGAGACGCGGAGTTGGCGCCCCCGGGCGTGTGTGCGCCGCTGGGCTCCCAGCCACCGTGCCCTGCGGCTCTCGCCCTTCTGCCTGCTGGCCAGCCCCTCTCCAGACCCAGCCCCTCCTGACCTTCCGGCACCAAAAATCCCTTGGGAGCATCCGCCTCAAGGCGTTTTTTTCTGTCTGCAAGAGGGACCACTAACCGGAGTACCGGAGAAACTCACTTGCCAAACACCAGCACAGAGGTGGCGAGTCCTCGACCCCTTCCACGCTTTGAAATGAATCACCTTCTTCTAATGCCTTTGAAACAGCCTTGTTCCTCAGTGTACCTCATGTGGCTCTCCTTGTAAAACTGCCAGGATATTTTTTCCACACAATTTTAGGTTATCCTATTTCAGACACTCTTCTAACAGTTAACCGTTATGTAAAATTCAGGAACTGAGAGAGACCTTCGCAAACATCCAGAAGCACTTGCTCAGATGCTCTGCAGTTCTCAGGGCTCGCACAGTGGGGTTAACAGAATCTACGGAGCAAAGTGCAGGCCCAAAAACTATGCCTGCCCCCACACTATTATGGCAAAATTGAAGAAGTATAAATTACATCTGACATTAATTATGTTTATACTTAGTGACCACAATGGACTCAGTGTGCTCAGTCAGATGTTTTCATGGCAGGCCTACATGCATGAGTAATCAGAATCATCAGAATCATGATTAGAATAAAGGGAAGTGCTGCTCTAGAGCAGTATCTTAAAACTTTTTTTTTAGGGTTTTGCTGCTTGGCTCATGCAGTCTGTGGGGAGAGACTGAAAATGAGAACTCACCCCCCACCACCACCACCCCCAAGGCAGATGGCCACACAGCAATCCCTTCTCCCTTGGAGATTAAGGGCACACATGCCTAGCCTAATTTTCAAACCGTGGGATCAGGGACTACCACCCAGCAGTTGGCCATGTGAGATTTAGCACTTTAACCTCCATGGCTCCTGCTGGCCCAGGAGTAACCGTTTCACTCTTCTTCCTCAAAGAAATAACATCCTCCCAGAGCCTTTTATGGTCATAAGGTGACTTCCATGTCTCTGTCCCTAATGAGGAAGAGTTTTGTCCTCAGTAGGTGGACCCTCAGCCATATCTTTTACAGTTTGGCCGACTAACAAGTGGCAAATACTCAGGACATGATGACTTCTAGATCATGGTTTTGGACCTCATTCACCACCAAGCACTCAAACCTGAAACGTTTGAGTGATCTTACATCTATTTTACAGTCATAGCCACAAATGAGCACCCCAAGCAAGAGAGGCCTGTCCATCACTACCATTCTTAAAAGGTTTCTCGCTGCTGGGCCAGTGGTGGCATGGAGGTTAAGACACTGGATCCCATGTGGCCAGCTGCACAGTTTAAGTCCCTGACCTGGCAACTTAAAAATAGCACTGGGTGTCTATGTGTGTGTGTGCTCAAAAAATCCCTAGAGAAGACTGGAAGAAAAGGGACTGCTGTATGGCCATCCCCAGGGGTGGGGGGTTCTCACTTTTCCTCTCTCTCTCCCTCTGTTTCTCTCTGGGAAGCACACATGCCCTGTAGCAAAAGCTATAAATAAAAAGGTTCCTCACTGCAAAGTCACCACACTTTCAACTCAATGCATCCTAGAATACTGTTATGCAAAGACTAAGGCTCTTAGCCTACCTGGGTCAGGAACATAGCTTTGCCTCTCACTAGCAGTGCTATCCTAGGCAAATTACTTTCCAGAACTTGTTTCCTCTACCGTAAATTAGGCTGACAACACCTGCAAACACCAAACCTAAGAAACTAACACTAATAAGATCAGTCTTATGGACTAGTGGTTGAGAAATCCCACATGGTCAACCATGCAGTTCAAATCCTGGTCCCTGCAGTTGACAAAATACATCAGGTAGGGCCAACAGGTATCGTGATGGTTAGGGCACTAGATTCTCACGTGACTGACCACAATTCAAGTCTTGGACGTGGCAGATTGCGTTCTCATTTTCTGTCTCTCTCTTGTCTCTCTCTCTCTGGTGAGTGCATGTGCCTTAAAGCAAATTGAAAAATAATAATTTAAAAATTGATATTTTTTGAGAGATTTTTGCAATAGGCATGTGCACTCGCTGGTGAGCTAGATAGAAAGCAAATCGCCCCCAGGGGAAATGATCACGCCTCAAACCCTCCTCCTCCATTCTCCTCTCAGGATTTTGGGCATGTATGCACATGTGCCCATCTTGAATTGAAAGCTTCCAGGTCCGGGACTTGAACCGTGGTTGGCCAAGTGGGAGTCCAGCAATGTAACCATTATGCCATCTGCTTGTCCCAATAAATAATTCTTTATTATTATTATTTTTTTAAACTTAATTATTTTTTATTTAATTTTACTTATTCATTCATTTATTTTAATTTGACTAGTGAGAGAGACACAGGGGTGGGGGGTGAGAAAGCAAGCCACCAGATCTAAGACTCAAACTGGTTAGCCCTGCTTGAACTGTGGTCAGCCATGTGGGAGTGTCCAACACTTTAACCACCATGTCACCAGCTGGTCCCCAGTAATTCTTTTCTAAAAGAAGAAAGAAACACACACCAGGCATGTGTGCGTGTGTGCCCAAAATTCTGACAAGATAAAAAGAAAAAAGGAATACACCGTTGTGACTGCACTCCACTGAGGGGTGCTTTCTCCCTCTCTCTGTCTCTCTCAGGTGAGTGCACATGCCCTCTGGCTTGTAAACAAAAACAAAGCAAAACAAAAGAATGAATATAAACTATATACTTTATTTGGATTTCACCAGTTGTTCCCTTTGGTGATTCAGAATCCAATCCAGGATACTATATTACATTTAGTCATCCTGTCTCAGCCTTGTCCCATCTAGGATAGTTTTTCCAAATCTTTTCTTGTTTTCATGACTTTGAAACTTTTGAATATTGGTCAGGCAGTCTGTAAAGTGTCCCTCAATTTGGATCTGTCTGGTGTTTACTCATTATTAAATTAGGTATTTGACAGGCTACCAGAATGAAGAGCCCTTCTCATTGCCTCAGATCAGAGAGCAAAGGAGGACGTCAAGAAGCTTTATCACTGGAAATGTTAAACCTTGATCACTTGGTTAAGGTAGTATCAGGTTTCTCCATAGTAGTTTCCAATTTTCCAGTTCCATAGTCTGTTAGAAGCAAGTCACTAAGTCCAGCCCACACTCAGGACAGGTAAATTAAACTTTACTTTCTGAATGGAGGAGTATCCAAAAATGTGAGTATATGTTAAAACCACTGTAATAACTAACATATATTTAGGAGAAGATACTTTGAGGCAAAGCGAATACCCTGCCCCTCCTTAACAGTTTTGCCCACTAATTTTGGCATTTATCAGTAGACCTCGTCCACTTGTTACAATTACTATTATCATCAGTTAGCGTAATGGCTATGTCACTGGACTCCCATGTAGTCGACCGCGGTTTGAGTCCCGGAACCGGTGGCTTAAACTCAAGCCAGGCACGTGTGCGTGCGTGTGTGCCCAAGATCCCGAGAAGAGAATGAAGAAGGGATTGCAGTGTGACCATCCCCCCTGGGGGTTGATTTCTCGCTTTCTGTCTCTGTGTCTCTTTCTGGCGAGCGCACAAGCCCTATAGCTAAAAACAAACAAACAAACAAACAAACAAACAAAAAAACACAGCAGGGAGAGAACTGACTGGACATCAAATCAGCAGAATACAGGCAGGCTTGAGAAAGAAAGAAATCCCCAGTGGGGCAGGATCACACTGCAATCTCTTCATTTTTCCATCCTATCGGGATTTGGACCATGCACGCATACACGCCTGATGTGTTTTTCAAGCCACCAGATCCAGGACTACAACAGCGCCATTGGCCATGTGAGATCCTGTCCCATTAACCCCTAGGCCTCCAGGCTGCCCTTGCTGTGGTCTTCTAATGGTGTTTTTATTTTTTTCTATTTTCCCTCTTCCTTCTACATTATTTGAAAAATCTTCTGTAAAAACAATTTGTCTCTCCTCTCCCTCTTACTTATTCAGTAATATGTGTATCGGGGTACACTCATGGATATATAGTTTATTCCTTGTTATTTTCTTGCTCACATTGTTTTGGCTTTGAGGCCAATAGGTGGTATGGTGGTTAAGATGGCTGGATTCCCACATGGCTGACTGCAGTTTGAGTCCCAGACCAAGCAGCTTGAAAAACACACCAGACACGTGTGTGTGCATGTCCAAAATCCCAAGAGGAAAATGGAGGAGAAGGGGTTGTAGTGTGGCCATCCTCCATGGAGAGGGGAGGGAGGGATTTCTCACTTACCCTTTCTCCAGTGAGCACCAGCACCCTATAGCAAAACTGAAACAAAACAAAAAATGTTCCAGCTTTGACCATTGGGACCTCTTTTAGACTGAGTTTTTGTTTTCTGTTTTGCCAGAGGGCACATATATATCATAGAGAGTGTGGGAGAAAGAAAATAAATTCCAGTAGGGTGTAGTCACACTGCAATCCCTTCTCTGTTTTTCCACACATCAGGAAACACACACAAGCACCCAGTATGTTCCCTCGGGCTGTTGGGACCAGGATGCAAACCATGGTCAGCCATTTGTGATTCAGCTCCCTTAGCAATTAGATCATATGGCCAGTCTGACTGCAGGCTTTTGACATATCCCATCATTTGTTTTTCACTTCCTTATTTTCTGGCACCATTCGATGTTCTGGGTTCATTTTGTTTTTTTTTCCTGTCCTTGTCCTAGAATAAACCATTTCTTCAATGAGCCTTGCTCCTCTTTCC